TAGGCCGTCTTTTCTGAGTATATACATTGCGACCACCATGGTACCTGCATCCGTTTCCCAAACAACCTTTCCATCATCCTTATTCACTGTTACCACACGACCAGCCATGGTACTTGCGAAATGCTGATACGGGTAAGAAGAATCGGCTAAAAAGGAAACTGCGGAATTATTTGGAATTTCTAATTTTCCGGCATCCACGAGGAAATAAACGACTCTTCCCATCTTTCTGATGCTCAAAAGTGGTGACGCATATAAATCGAATAGGCATCAAGTACCACTGAAGGTATGCAGCCGAGGATCGAAAGGCTTGGCAGAGCGATACCTGACATGTAAGAGTACCACTAAATCCTCCTCACCAATGTGGCTCACCAGCCGACTGCCCTAGCGGTCCTGGTACGTAGCCTTAGTATTTATTTATTTTACCTGCCAGCAGATGTCAAATACTAACTGTGGAATATTTTCGAATACCTCCGCCTCCTATAAAGAATAAATTCGGAAAGGGGTTTTTTTTTTCAATTTTTTAACTTATCAGCAAAAATGATCCAGCACTGCCGGAAGTTTCAACAGTTAGCCAGTAGTTCTCAATGCATTTATTTTTGAAGTGTATTTATTTTTGAAGCGCGTTTCACTTCTATTTCATTCCCTCATTTCGTGATCTTACGACCATTTATTCCATGTTCAGTAAAAAGAAGGTACGGAAAACGAATAAAATCATAGCACTATTTCACTTACTTGGCAACAAATGACTCGAATAATCCGTGAACGTTGCATTCCATCGTCGCTTTTGGTTTTCCGGATCAAACATTGTTAATTTATACTCAGACCTAGGAAATTTAATTTGTTTCATTTATTCACAATGGCATACATGCGCCATCAGCTTTTTCTTCAAATGTATTGGTTCATACTTTTGCGATTCATATTTCTCTTTTTCTCTGCTTTACTTGCACGCATGCTACGCATTAGAAACATGCCATATCTGATGAATAAATCCATCGTATTAGCTGCCATAATCTCTGCATATTCGCATCAGTACACTCTGGTACCATTAATACATTAGTGTTGCATCATAACTCCCTCCTAAGTAGGTCACGTGATGGCGCAAAGCAGCTTGAATAAGGCCGCTGTGTCAGTATCGTAGAAGAGTGTCCATCCAGTGTAGTGTTATGGTATTGTGCAGGCGACCCAGACAACTTGGGCCCTACTACCTCGAAATATCGCCAAGGAGGCGACGACCCAACTCGATAAGCCGGAGCGCTAAGCCAGTCGACGAGCCGCTTAGCCAGCAACCCAACATTAGCAAGTGTTAGCTTTTTCAAAAACATTAATTTCGGAAATGTTTCTTTTAGCTTAAATTTGATGAAAGGATGCAGTTTTAGTTCAAATTTGATGAAAAAGTATTTTCGATGATATACGATTTATTTTATCAGCGATTTATCATTTCCGATGAAATGCGCTAATTTTACGCGCCAGTCATTCCTCTGCTAAATCCTACAAACCTTTCTAATGCCTTTTCGCAGTTTGTAAGAAAATGTACTGTATAATTTATGCTCCCCCCCCCCCCAAATTTATTATGCCCCCAAAGTTTCAGCCCCGTAGCTTTTGCCGGTCTC